CTTGTTTTTATTTAATTATTCAAACTATACAATTCAATATAATTTAAATTGTATAATATATTTTTAATATTTTAATGTCTTCTTAATTGTACTCACCTTTATATTGAATATTCATATATAGTGATTCCTTTTTAATTTTTAATGTTTAAATTTAATTGATAGTTAGTTTTATTTTTAACTGCTTAAAAAGAATCTCTATTCTCCGTAATTCTGTACGTTCAAAAAAAAAGAACTGTACTCTCCTTTTGAATAATAAGAGTACTTTGTTTTTTGATTTAAAATTTATTTTATATTAATTCTCATTTTTTAATATTTAGAAAACAAACATTTTTCTTTAAACTTATTATTATTCCTTAATTTTAATTATTTGTTTTTATCATAAAATCCTTTCCTCTATCTTTATTTTTAAAAAATACTAATATAACTAAAAATATAAATTATTTAAAAAATTTAATTTGAAAATAAAATCAGAAATTGAAAGGACAGAAAAATCAGGCGAGAAAAAGTATACACTCCACTAAGTTGCAGAAAGTTACAATCACTCGCGATATTGACCATTAGATGTGGATTTGTCGGGATATGATATTGGTTGGATTAAGTACGTGTGTCAATTGCGCTTCGTAATTTAAATTTTAAATCGCTTTAATTAAGAGCGGGAATGGGTTGTCCAAAGTCGGCCGGAAATGTCGCGGGATTGACGGGGCAAAAGCAACTTAATTTCGTAATTACTTAAAATTAAGGGTCGCTTTTCAAAATCCCCAAAAGCCGATTATGGCGGTTTTTCGTGACTAATTCCGTTAAGTTAAAACTTCAAATTTGTCTTAGCGCCAGCCGCCACGTAAATGATAACTGTCTGTCACCGGGTTTCTTCACAGACCAATCATCAGTAATTAACTTCATTAAATTTTGTCGTTATATATCAATCAAGGTTATTGATTTCAAAATTTTCAAAATTCAAAAATTTCAGTAAACATATTGTCATGTTAGTTGTAGGATGGATATTGGGTTGAATTTTAACTTGTTTGATTGAGAAAACAATCTAAACTTTGAAATATAGAAATATTTTTTTTATAACTTAATATCTATGTGACTCAAAAAACTCTGAAAATATTATCAACCATGGTTCAATCTAACTTTGATCATGTAAATGCAAATGCAATAGCTTGTAACACTAGCGTGGTCGTTCTTGGCATTTGCATGACTGGAGTGGACCAAATACTAATGGTAGTCAACGGCCCCAGTGGAATTGAATAACAAAATCTTTTGAGTAAATTGAAGAACTACTTGGAAATTATGATTAATCGGTTTGATGATCTTATATGTGTTCCTCAGCTTTCTCTTTTGGTATCAAATTAGCCCCTCAATTTTTTTTAGTACTTTGTTAATTAATCACTCAACTTATTATTTTGACATCTCCAATCTAAATTGAGTTTTTTCGACGAGTTTAACCAATTGAAAATTAAATGGCGATGAAGAATGCTTCTGATTTCTTATGATTTGTTCAACGCAGAAGGGAGGTTGGAGTGCCCAAGATGACAAAGTAGGGAGGTGAGAGAAAATAAAATTTTTAATTAATAATTAATTAATATTTAAATAATATAATTTATTTAAAGTGAATGAATCATATTATTATCTTTGTCCAATTCAATAGTCTTGCTAATATAACATTAACCTCATATTCAAAACAAAAAAGTCTCATTATCAAGTTTGTTAATGTGTCATGTTAGATAAATATTAACGAAAGGATCAAAAGAATAAAACTGATAAGTTGAGTCACCAAATGAGCATCAAAAGACAAAGTTGAGGGACCAAATGGCTTAACCAACCTATATCGGAGTTGCGATTCAGTTCCATTATCAGTCCGAAACATTTGCCAAACTCAAAACAGTCAAAATTTCCTTTTTAAAAAGCCCAAAAAGATTCAAACGAATAATTCAGATTATAAATAAAAAAAATAAAGCAGAAAAAAAATAGTGGAAAGAGAAAGATTAACCATTAACTCCAGCACCAGTTTCGCCCACAAAACCAGCCTTCATTTCAGTGCTTCAACCAAACCTTGACCTTTCCATCCCTTCTCAACCTTCATCTTTATCAGGTAATTTCAGGCATATATTCCAAAAAAGATGACTTCAAATGTTAATTAATTCTGTGAATTTTTCTGGGTGTTTGTTTTAATGGTTTGGGAATTTGGAAATTTTTTCTTGGGATAGAAATGGAGTGCATGGAAGCAAGAGCATTGAAATCGAGGGAACTAAGGGAACAGGGTCCGAAATCGACCCAACAAGCTTTTCTTGAGGATTTTTGGTGTTTGAATGGAGCTAATGGGGTTCCAAGTGATGATTTTTCTGTTGATTGTTTTCTTGATTTTTCCGCCGGAGAAGTTGAAGATGGAGGGTCCGTCGAAGAAGAGGAGGAAGAAGAAGAAAAGGACTCCCTTTCTGTTTCATCTCAGGATAACAACTCCAATTCGGCCGGTTTCTCTTTGGATTCTCTCCTCACCGATGAACTCTCTGTTCCGGTAATTATTCTTTTTATTTTTTTTTTCTGAGAAGGAATTAAAAGTTGTATATCTTTTGTTTATGATAAAAACTAAAGTCAGTGCTTTGAATTTTTGGATTCTATAGACTGATGATGTCGCCGGCCTTGAATGGGTATCTCTATTTGTCGACGATTCTCTGTCGGAATTTCCCCCGTTGTGCTCGTCTAGTAAACAGAAGACGGACAGCCATGCAAAACCCGAACGAAATAAACAGAAGACCGACAGCCATGCAAAACCCGAACGGAAACCCGTCTCGGTAAAACTGCCGTTCTTTCTTTTACGAGCTCCGACCAAAGCAAGAACCAAACGACCCAGAACCAGCGGCAGGGGCTGGTCAGTGGATTCGGACTTCTTGACTGATTCATCGTTAAGGTGTTCTCGTTTCAGTGAGCCACCAACGAAGAAACAGAAGAAAAAGCAGGGAGCGCAGACCGGTGGGTTACAGGGGGGCTGCGCCGTTCAGCGGCGGTGTAGCCACTGTCAAGTCCAGAAGACTCCACAGTGGCGAACCGGTCCGCTAGGTGCCAAAACGCTTTGTAATGCATGTGGGGTTCGATACAAGTCCGGTCGTCTCTATCCGGAGTACAGACCGGCTTGTAGTCCAACGTTTTCCGGTGATATTCACTCGAATAGTCACCGTAAAGTGTTGGAGATAAGGAAAAGAAAAGAAAAAGAGTTAGCAGTGGAACCCGGTTTGAACCCGGTTCAGAGTTTTTGAGCCCAGTGTAACTTTTGTTAAAGGTTAGCTTTTGGTAGTAGTCCTATGGTCCTCATGATTAAGTTTTTAGAATTTTAGCCTAATTCACTCGTATGGTTCGGTTCTAGGGTTAGTTTTTTATTTTCAAGTTAAAAATGTATTAAATTTTAAAATAGTAACCTTTAAGTAGGGAGATAACTTTAATATCTTACTTTCTATTTTGATGATATTTGTTGTGTAGTTTAAACTACATAACAAATTTTCCTTTAAGAATATTTTTGGGATTCTTTAGTTTTTTTTTTTTTGTTTGAATCACCTGATATTTGGAAACTGATTGGGTTACCAATTAATCCAAATTCGAGTCGGGCAAGATTTAATAGATGATAATGTTTTTTTGATAAGTTTTAATGAAATTGCATTCTCAAAATATAAAATTAAAATTTCTGATTAAACTAAAAATGTTCTTTGTTAATTCATTCACCCGCTCGTGATTGGATTCTCTAGTTTTTTTCTTCTCTTTTTAAGGAAAACAAAGAATTGATTTAGCTACTATGATTTTATACACGGTGTGTGTTGGTATTGGTTAAAAAAATATCGCTCCCAACAACAAATCTATGGTTGTTGGAGCTTTGAACAGAGACCGAAAACATGGATCATCGTTGTCTAATTTCCTGTGAACAAGTCTATTGGACTTTCATGTCAAATTATCTTAAAAAATTACAAGTAGTTAGTAGATATCTTTTGATTATGAGTCAATTTTGTAATGTCAACGTAATATTAATTGAGTGGATATGCACATTAATTCATGACTTAAATTAAAAGGACTAATAATATAATAAAAATTACATTACATTAATAGTGTAAAATTTTATTATCAATAAATATTTTTAAAAATCATTTTTTAAGTAATTGTGATATATTTTTTTCTCACTTTGTGGGAACCCATAAAGTCTAATTGTTTGCTGGTATGAGATTTTGGGCTTGTTTGGTGGAGTTTATTCAAGTTTTTACTCTTTTACTATTATCCATAAGTCATAAGTTTAAATTTATATTAGAGGAAAAATTTTAAAATTATATTTAAAAATAACAAAAAGTGAGTAAAAAATAAGTAAAAAGGAAGTATATAAAAAACAAAAGTTTGAAACTTTTCAGAATTCATTGTTTAAGATTTTTTTAAAGTAAAAAAAAAAGTTAAAAATGTAAGTTTTTTTAAAAAAAATTTTAATTTATGAAATATGAATAATATCAAAAAGTTAAAATACTTAAAAGTTTCACTAAACATACTCTTTATCATTGACTTTAAAGACTTCTAGATTAAGAAGAGAGAATTTTAGATACCATAATTGAGTGCCTAATGGTTTGTTTTTGAAATTTCATTTTTGATGAATTTTTGAAATTTCATTTTTGATGAATTTTTGAAATTTCTTCGTTGACTTGAACAACCTTCAATTTTGACATGTTCAAAATGGTTTAGCGGAAAAACAATTCAAATTTATGAAAGTTGGTTAAAATGAAGGCCCTCTTTAATATAGTTTTATATTTTGATTTTTAGTTTTTATTTTTAAAATTTTTAAAATTTATATAGTGGTAATTACTAAATAATAAAAGTAATATATTAAAAATCAAAAACCAAATTTAAAACTATATAAACCAAGCATCATTAAGTAACTGAATTAAAGATTAAAAAAATTCAAAAACAACTTATTTTACTACTTTTTCACAGTCGAGGGTTGGTCATTAAAGCAAAGAACAAACCTAAATTGAATTAGAGAAATATTAAAATAAAATATGAATTAGGGAAGTTGGATTAGAGAGTAGGAAAGGTGTGTGGTATAGGGATAAAATGTTTGTTGAAATATCTGAATCAGAAAATGGAGTGAGTCTTGAGTCGGGCCGAAAAAGACAATGTGGGGGTGTGGGGCGCGAGTGAGTGGATGCCCACCCACCCAACCCAAGTGGCCAGACCAAGAAACACGAGGGGTCAAGAGTCAGGCATGAAGTGTCTGAACCCATCATCAGCAGAGTGGACCACTACCCCCGTCCAGACTTTTATTTATTATTTATTTTTTTATTATTTTATTATTAAGGTGTATTTAGTCTAGTTTTTATACATTTCGAGACTATTTCTTCTTCTAATAATGTTAAAGATGCACCTTCATCAACTTGGTGCATTTAAAAACATTAATTTTTTAAGTGTTGATTTTGAAACTTAAATCCTATATCTAAATTACAAATCAATACTTATTTATTAATAAAACCAACGATTGGGTTTCCACCAGACTTTATACAGCTTCAGTGTGATGTCAAATTGGCCTATTTTTTCTTGATTTCGGTCTGACTTTAGAAGGAATCATCTAGAGATTTGGTATTCCAATCCTCAGCTCAGCTTCTTTTTTTTTTTTTTTTTATTATAGACCACATGGTATTCGAAAGCTCATTAGACCACCGATTAATTCGGATTTGGGTCAGACAAGACCTAATAGATAGCAAAAGTTTTTCTCACGAGTTTTAACAAAACTGCATTATCAGGATTTGAAATAAAAACCTTGATTAAGCTGAAAGAGTCTCGTACCAAATCATCTACTCGCTCGTGGATAGTTCAGCATTCTTGATGAGTTATACAATATATGAACGCATTTTTTCTCTCCTAACTTTTCAGTCCTAAGATTTGAGTCATTTGGGCACACCTTGGACAAAGTAAACTACTTAGAAGTTTAAATTTCCTTATCTTGACCTCAAATTAGCCAACCTCTTATATTAGTCATAAGATTTGAGTCTATAAACCTTTGGTTTACGATTGGATTGCTTTTTGAAAAACCATACATAACTATTCTAAAACTATTATCTTTTTTTTTTTTTATCTTTCTCTTTGTATTAAGGTTAATATAATTTTATTTACTTTTTTGGTTTAATATTTTTATTTATTTATTGAAGACATAAACTAACAATTATTTGATTTTTTTAATAAAAAAGTGTTTTTTTTTATCAAAAATAAAAATAAAAAATACCTAAAATCTAAACTACACCAAATTGCCAAAAACATTAATCATTGGATAATAAGAAACCTTTGAAAATCAGTGTAGCTCTTCCATCTAATGGTGATATTTTGCCTTTTCAGTATAATTTAAATTGCAAAACAATGAACTTTTGTCTTTTAAGGGTTATCTTAGTGGTTAAGAGCTTAAATCTTTGATGTTGAGAATGAAAAAATTATTTTTTATTATACAACTTATCATCCAATATAAAAAAATAAAAAATAAAAACAAAAAAAAAAGAAAGAAAGAAAGAAAGAAAAGAACAATGACTTTTTGAATTGTTGATGAAATTTGATTTTGTGAATGTTGATTCTTGGATTCGGCTACCAGACCCAGTTTGAATTTGACAAACTGATGGGCCGTGGTACAAAAGCCTAGACCAATATCCGTAGTATTGGGCTACAGGTTTTTGTTTCTATACCATCCAAAATTATAAACTTTTTCTTTTTCAAATTTTCAATTTTATAATTTTATAGTAATTATTTCTCCAAAAACTTCAGGTAATTACTATTTCCTTCATAAAAATTATATAAAAAGGAGAAAAATCCAATGGATATTATTATAAAAAAAGTGATTTTTGAGAATGAGCAAGTACGAATATATACAGATAATATAAGACATAAGGTAAGAAGAGAGGAGAAAGTATCGGAAATAATTTTTGAACTTTCTATTCTTCCATTTATTTCACTCTTTAGTTTTCATTTTTAATTTCGTACAATGCCAGTTTATATATATGTTAAGGAATAATAAATATTACATACATTCAATGGATGAATTTAACTAAATTCATAAAGATAAACTTTATTATAATCAGGGGCAGAGTCATGAATTTTAATCAAAGAAGGCTGGCTTTTAAGTTTTAAAATAATGTATTGTAATTTTAAAAATTTATTTTCATATCATATATTAAAATAATACTTGACGAGTTTTCATGTCACAAAATCTATTTATAATATTAGCTACACTAAATTACTAAACTATTTCATTTTCAATATAAATAATCAAAGAATTTGAGAGAGATTTATTTTCCATTTTGCTGCAAAGTCTCATTTTCACAATTTTCATTGTAGAAAATGCTTTTTTTGTTATTGCTTCATAAACTAAAAAAGTCAACATCAAAGTAATCAACTTATAAATGATACTATAAACCTCTGATTTTTTTTATCTCCACAAGCCATTGACATAGTTCAGAAAAAAATACAGCAACATCTTATCTCTTCATCCTACCACTTTCAACAAGCAAACAAAATTTTTTTCCCTTTTTACAAGCTAATTGCACTTTATACAAGTTTATCTTCCTTTTATACTAATTTATGTTCCTATTGCTTTTCTCTATATGACTATATCCAAAGTTTTTTCTTTTATTGGATTCATATATGTTCCCTTTATGGATTTGTACTTTCTTTTCGTTTCTTTTTTTTTTCAATTTTTTTTACTCCAATCTAATTCTATTTTATATAACTTTAATATTACCATAATATTCAATTTTATTTGTAATCTCAACAACTCTAAATCCTAAAAGGAAATTACACAATTTTTGTGATAATAAAAAATCAATAAGTTTAATTACTTAAATATTACTCCCTCCATACTAAAATAATAGATTTTTTTGTTTTATCTTCAAATGAAAGATTTGAAAACAATTTTTATCTTTACCTATTTTATACTTAAAAAATAACTTTAAAAAGAATATCTACTTCCATCAGAAAATAAATAATTAAAGTTAAAAGATAATTATAGGGTTGAAGTAGAAAAAACCTATTTATCTTCCTAAAAAAAATGACTATTATTCTGGAATAAATTCTAAATAAAAAATATCAATTATTCTGGGATAGAGAGAGTATACTAATTTTTTTGTTAGAACATATCTACTAACAAGTATAAAACAAAATTTTAAAATAAAATAAAAAAAACTTACAAAACTTTAAAGTTGAAACCCAATATGGCAATATATGATTTATATAAAAAGAGATAGTATTGTTTTTAGTTTTTACTAAGAAGTTTGTGGTCCCTTTGGTGGTTCCTTATTTTGTCTTCAAACTTTTAATGAGAAGAGCAGTGTTGCAGTGATTTGCATCAAGCTGTCGGCAAAGTATCTTTTTTTTATTATTTTTTTGAAGTTGATAAGTTAAAGGAGATTGACACCGGGAACAATGGAGTTGAATACTAGAGAAATAACAGAGAAGACACAAGAATTGTTTTTTTTTTTCTTTTTCTACAAAATTCAATTGTGACCCTTAAAATTGAATGGTTTTAAATAATAATAAATAGTTAAATTGTTAAAATAAATAATTGATTATATATATTATATTTGAACTCTTAAAATAACCCATTATTATTGGATCTTTTTTATTTTATGTATTTTAATAATTAAAAATATAATATTTAAAAGTTTAATAATAATGATTAATAAATTAATTATATATAATTTTTTTTCAAATCCCAAGGGGGGCCACCGCCCCTTGTTCTCCATGTGGCTCCACCACTAATTATAATTTATATTTATGAAAATGAACTTGACTTGATTCATGAAGATGAACTTGACTAGATTCATTAATGAAATTTAATTAGAATATTGAATAAAGTTTGTTAATTCTATGAATGTAGTGGTTCAATAAATATAGTAATATACTAAATGTAGCTCTGAGGGTGGAATGAGGAACGCAAAACATCCATTTTTTTTTTTATTAGGGCAAGTGGTTCGAGGGGAGGGGGGGTGAGGAAGAGGATCGAACCCTTGCCATGACAAAGAAGGCTTATATTAAGTTGCTAAGCCATTAAACTGATAGACCTTCTTCAACGCAAAACATCCATTCATTTATATAATTCATAATAAATATTACATCTTTTCGAAATTTCCTTAATTTCATGCAATGTCAGCCTATATATAGGTTAAGGAATAATGAATATTACATAAATTTAATGAATAAACTTGACTAAATTCATGAAGATGAATTTGACTAATTCATGAAAATGAACTTAACTAAATTCATGAACGGAATTTAATTAGAATATTGAATAAACTTTGCTAGTTCCATAAATGTGGTGGTCTAATGAATATAGTGGTTTACTTAATATAACTTAGAGGAGAGGGTGGAAAGAGGAACATGAAACATCCATTTATTTGTATAGTTTATAAATAGATATAGGACAATGATACATTCACCTCATCCGTTACACACTCCGTTACACCCCTCACTTCGTTAGCATCTCCGTTAGCCTCATGTTCTCTACTATTCATTGTCCTCACCAGTTCTCTGTATTCTTCACTTGGAACTGCATGTTAACCCAGTTCTCTCTCCTTTCCTTTCTCCTTCTTTCTGTTCACTGTCCTCACCAGATCCATCTTCCTCCTCACCTCTATCCTCATCCTAATCATCTGCAGCCTCATCTCTTTCTTCTTCATCATTGTCGTCGGTTTCACTGGCATAGGGCATGAAGTTAAGTAAGTGGGAACCTGCAAAGGAACCCAGATCTGGTGTTGGGGAAAGGGAGGGAAAATGAAAGGATTTAGAGGTTGAAGATAAGGATTTAGGAACCCAGCAGCTTGGGGCATTTTCAGAGTTTCGCACAACCACTCCAAACAAGACTCAAAATTTCAAGTTCAATTTCTCCAACTTCCTAGGCAACGAAAGGGAAATTTTGAAAAATAGAGGATGAGATACGAACCACCAAAAATAAGTGACAGCATAATCAAGCTTGAAAGTGAGCAAAAGCATGAAAGAGAAGAGAAGGGCATGGGCTACAAGCGCTTGAAGCGACTTCGCCACTCTCTTTCGGCTCATCACCCTTCTTCTCAAAAAAGCAAGACGTATTTGCAGACAATTTCAGAAGATAATTCGAATTTCTGGGATGAGAATTGAACAGAATTTTTAGGTGGACGACGGCATACAAGTTCAGGAAAGCAGCCGCTGCTGGGTTCCTTCGATTGACCCAGCAAAAGAGAGAAATTGGAAGGAAAAATGTTCAGATCTGGTGTTGATGGAGGGATAAGGAGAGAAAGAAAATTAAAGGATGAAATTGCAGGTTTTATTGAGAGCAATCACAGGTGGTGAAGCAGAGATTGGTGTCATAGGTGCTAGAAATTGGAATAGTTTTCCAGTCACTAATCATCAGAGTGACAATGGGGTGGGATGACTCCGTTAGGGAGTTAACGGGAAGATAACGGAGAATGGATGTGTGTCACAGAGTGTGCAGAGGATGAGGGTGGATATAGCATTTTCCATAGATATAACATTTTTATGAAAAGAACAAAAAAAAAAAAAAAAGGTTTCTTGATGTCCTTCAAAAAATTGTTCCTTCTTTTATTAATCCAAAACCACAAACAATATGTAATATTGGGATCACCAAGCTAGCGGCAATTCTTATGTTTGAACACCACGTTGAAATCCAAAAACAAATTTATAACATTAGGTTTATAAATCTTTACATATGTATTTACTTTTATTCATATCACATCTTTATGATATCATCCTCATCTGTAAATCCTAACATATAATTACCAGTTAATGATTTCTCAAGGTATTGATGGGAAGGTAAGCTGGAAGCATCAACGTTAGGCGAGTGTACAATGACACTGCAACCCTAAGCCAAGGCTATATCTTTCTGCAGTTGAGGAATGTGAATATGAAATTTGCTACCATAAATATAAAAGGGGAACAAATTTGGTTTGCTGACAAGATAAACTTATAATGGTTTATCACAAAACATCAACTAAGTTTTGGAAATAGGTTATTCCCACAGCAGATTTTGGCTAAATACAAAAAAAAAAAAGGAAAGAAAGAAAGAGTAAACACAGGCAAAAGGAAATTTTATCCACCAAAAAAATTAAAAAATAAAAAAAAAACGAAATCTTAATCGCTTTTTTTGCAAGAAATGGAAGAAAACTATGGTAATGGAATTAATGAAGATGGAGTCAGCAACAAGTTAATTCCCCGACAAACACTTAGAAGTGAGCGCAATTCTTTTGTTGTACGTCTTGTTAGGCTGTTAGCAATTATTGAATATAATAATATTTACAAAAATAGTATTTATTTATTTTAT